TTATTTTTTTTTGGCTTAGTCAAATTCCCTGAAAATTCATATATGTGTATCTCACATGATACACAACTCATTAAAAAAATATAAAAATAATAATAAAATTGTTGAGGCCTTGAAACAAAGTGGAAACAAAAAACGAAAAAAGAAAAAAAACAAAATAGTGAGTGGGTGAGCACGTTTTGATCGACTGTGCGAGGGACCTGTGAAAAATTTACTTAAGCTGCTTAGTGTGCTCACCCCACGGTATTCTTTAGTAAAAGGCGAAAGAATAGTACGCCAATTGAGGTGGACATGCAGCTGCGCCATCTTTGGCGATTTTTCTTTTTTTTTTGGCTCAGCAAAATGATCTGAAACTTTAGAGGCATGTACCTCACATCATAGAGAACTCACGACACAAAATTCAAGAAAAAATAATTACTTTTAAGCCCCGAAATAGTTTTTGGCGGGGTTCGAACCTCTTCAGGTTCGGAGGGGTTTGGCCCCTGAACGAGACCCCGAACGCCCGAACGTACGGAGGTTGGCCCGGGGGCCTCAGTACGTACGGGCTGGTAACCATGTATATATATATATATATATAATATATATATATATATATATATATATATATATATATATATTCGCACCGATGGAAAAAAAAAAGCAAATTCACGGGAAGAAAAAAAAAACGGAAAGTCTTTTTCTTTTTTGGAAACAAAACGAATTCAAAAGGCAAAAAAAGGAAACAAAACGACACACTAAAACGAAAAATATAATTATTAAAATATAAAAAATATTAAAAAAAAAACAATACGAAAATCAAAAACAAAAAATAAAAAAAGGTACCCGGGCACAAACCGAGACGGATATGCTCTCCGACGAAGGGCGTGTCGAGATGTACATTCGCATCGACGCCCACTGTGTACCCGGCCCCGTGGGCGAGCTCTCTTGTCTAGTGGCGCGATAGGAACAATTCGGTACGCGCGCCATCTGCACGCCCACCTACCCTGGATCGCCTTCATCCGTCGGCCCGCACTAAAACTTCGACCTGATTCCGGGTTGCGGCGATCCATCAACTTCCCCCCCACCACCAATGTTGCTTAAGGGGTAGGATATATACATATATACGGGGTTGTCGGCGTTCGGGACGGGCCGAACACCCGAACCCGAACGGCCGAACGTTTGGGACCCCCTCTCAACACGTTCAGACGTTCGGCCGAACGCTCAACCAAAAAAAAAAAACAAAGTTTTCAAAATATCAGAAAACAATATACGTCATGCACAAGAATAAACTAAACAACATTTGCCTCAACAGTACATCCCAATTCATTACCAAATTTGAAATAAAAATCAAATACGAAAAATAAATAATATTAATGAAAATAAGAAAAAATAAAACGAGAATGAAATTATTGCGTGGGCGACCAAGTTTTTGACACCGCCATCTTTGGCGATTTTTCATTTTTTGCTTGATTCATCAAATGCCATGAACTTTTATACATATGTTCCTTACATAATAGAGAACCTACAAATAAAGTTTGAAAAAATAATATTTTTTTTCAGGCCCCGAAATAAAGGGAAAACAAAAAGTGAAAAGAGAAACAAAAACATTCGTAAGTGGGAAAGCAAGTTTTGACACCACGATCTTTGCCGATTTTTCACTCTTTGTTGGAGCCACAGAATGACTTCAAAATTGAAAAACAGGTAGCTTACATAACAGAGAACTCACAAAAAAACAATCAGAAAAAAATAATAATGTTTAGGTACCCAAATATTTTTTTGCGGGGTCCAAACCCCTTCGAGTTCGGGCCCTGTACGGGAACCCGAATGCCCGAACGTTCGGGGGTCAGCTTAGGGGCCTCCGTACGTTCGGCCTGGCAACCCTGCATATATATATATATGTATATGTATGTCTATATATATATATATACATATGTATATATGTATATAGAGAGAGAAAGAGGGTAACTGGCATTCGGGACGGGCCAAACGCCCGAACGTACGAGACCCCTTGGGGATGCGTTCGGCCGATCGGGCCAAACGCGGACTTAAAAATAAAATAAAAAAAAAATAATAAAAATAAAAAAAAATAAAAAAAATATATGTTATGCAAAAACATAAAATAAACAACGTTTGCAAGAGCATTGCATCCAAATTCCTTACCAAATTTGCAATTTAAATAAAATATAAAAAATAAATACTAATAAAAAAAATAAAAAAAAAAAAATCAGAGAATTAAAATTAATGAGTGTGCAAGTCCGTTTTCAACACCGCCATCTTTGGCAATTTTTTGTTTTTTTTTTGCATAACCAAATGCCCTGAATATTTTTTACATGTGTACTTCAGATAAAATGAAACCCATGAAAAAAAATTTGAAAAATAATAAAATTGTTTAGACCTCGAAATAAAATGAAAACAAAAAGTAAAAAGTGAAAAAAAAAACAAAATTGTGAGTGGGCGAGCACGTTTTGACACCTCCATCCTTGCAGATTTTTCTTTTTTTTTTGGCTAAGCAAACTGACTTTAAAAGTTATAGGCATCTACCTAACATCATAAATAACTTATAAAAACCAATTCAAAAAAGAAATAAAAAATTAGGTGTCGAAATAAGTTTGAGCGGGGGTCGAACCCCTTCATATTCAGCCCCGGAACAGGATCTCGAACGCCCGGGGGCTCCGTACGTACGGGCTGGTAACCCTGTATATATAGAGAGAAAGAAAGTTTTCCATATGGTGTGGGTGAGTGATAGTCTACTTTGATTTTGGTTAAGGTAGATTATCATTTACAGTGTAATCAGTGAGGGGATTGTGCAGACTGTTGCGGGTTCAGCCTCCTGATGAGTCGGTGAAACTCTGACGAAACAGTTTGTCACAACCCCTCGTTTGTTGTCCTTTTCTCTCTCTCTCTGCCTACGGTTTACCGGACAGTTTTGTTTGTGACAATATATATATATATATATGATGTTTTAATCAAACACGTTGTTTTTCGAATTTTCTGAAGGTTTGGAATCGACACATCTAACAAGCAACAAAACTCAGGTGTAGTGATGAGTAGGTTCATTGAGATTATTTTTGGACCATGTTGCATTGATTGTAATCGTTAACGTGATTGTAGCGTTTGTTGTCACAATGAGTGTTTTATATTCTCTTAAATTTTTTTTGCTCGCGATGGTAATCTTGGTTAGTCCCATTATTATTCCCGCCTGTTGTCACGCATACGTTTGTATCGAGAAAAACTAGGGAGTTGCCCGTGTAATCCTGATAATAGGAGCATGCATGAAGTCGATTAGGGGTTGGGCAAGTGATGGCAATGAAATGGATAGCGAGGTTCTACATGTTTTCATCTATGCTTAATGATTTTCATTTAAAAAGGTCTAATGGGACATATCGGGATGGATATAAGTATCTTTAGCATTACTCATGGTGAATTGATAAGACGAGAATTGTGCAAGCCCTGATGAGCGCTTGGTGCAATGATGGCTATTGTTGTTATATGTAAGATGACGATGAGTTTGTTTTTTTGTGATTAAGACAAAAGAACGATCGTGTTTATGACGGTTATAGGAACTGGATTAGCGAAGGCCTAGAAACACTTGGTGGGAGCAGGTAGAGGTTCGTGATAAGCATGTAGTTAGAGGAGATTGAATGATAAATGGACGGTGGTGATGCAAAGGGATTGACACATAGGATGATGGAATTTTGTACGAGAAGGAAACAGGTTGTTCATTGATGAATGGATGAATGTGCAGTGAGTACCTCAAAGTATCATGAACGATTGATGCAGTGACAAGGGTTGTCATTGACAAAAGGAGTCCGATAATATTTTTGTGTGGTTTATATGCTACTTCAAATCGCACTCCAGATTATGTTATCGTTATCATGGGTTAATGAGTATGGTAGATCAACTCTTACATTTGAAGCGCTTTGTAAATTTTTTTCTTAATTTGTTAACACTTTCTTCTCGTGAAGTTCTATGATGAATGTTTGTCAATCATAACTTACCTTTAATATCGTGAACCTTACTGCATCGTCCATACATAGATTCATATATGGAATAATAGATAAACAATCATAAATTGGACCTTAGCATCCGCTCATGAGTCTTGGTTACGATTGTTTAAGGTTGACGGAATGAATTATCCCATTGTCCTATATACATTCCTCTCTACCATCCCATCTTTCACCTTTTTTTTTTACCGAGTTGGCGTAGGCTTCCTTCGTGCGGCTCCTAATGCGTTTTGTCCATGGCCTTGTGGGGTGAATCGATGCTTATTGAAAGCAGTAAGGAAAGTGACGGGTGAATGAATAAGTCCAACTTATTCTGATATTATTTTTTTTTTCATAAATACAAATCAGATGTTTGATGCTAGTATTCTAATATGTCGGCATGTTGATATTGCATTCACTTAGAATGCAGCTCGCCATGTCTTGTCTCGGTGTATCTTACTAAGAACACACTAATACAGACACAATGGACAGGGTAAAGGGTGGGAGGATAATATTTTTGTGTCTAGTACTCGATCCCCTTTCGTGGACCGCTTTCCCTCTTTAGATGAACCTGCCTCCCCGTCATCCCCCCTTCCTTCTTTCTTTGATTGTAGATGTACAAATCGTGTTACAGACAATTGTGCAAGCACTAAGTTTTTTTTCTTTGCTCTGTCGAACAACGGTAAGGAGCCACTCGTCATTTTCACCGCTGCTAATTGCTAAAGCAAATGTGACATCCTCTCACAACAACTTAAAAAGAACGAGAGAGTGAGAGAGAGAGAGAGAAAGAGAAGAAAAGAGAGAGAGAGAGAGGAAAGAGATATCGCCGACATCTTTTCGTCGTGGTCATCGCAGATTCCTCTGGCTGTGTGTGACTGTTGCGGACTTCATATCCCATTCTTATCAAGCTCATCCTCTCTCCTATCCCTATCTACCAACCACGAATATGGGAGTCGTCGCTTTTGAGAATCTGTCCTCCTCAGAGGGGTTGAAGGCGCTCGACGATTATTTGTTGACGAGAAGTTATATCACCGGTTCGCAGGCTTCTTGTGATGACCTCGCTGTTTACCTCGCCTTGAAGATCGCTCCGAGCAAGGAGTTTGTCAATGCCTCAAGATGGTACTCTCACATCACCGCGCTTCTGAAGAAGACATTCCAAGCCAGGTTGAAGGTGTTCGTATCTCCGGTGAAGTAGTTGTTGTTTCTGCGTTGGCCCCTCAGATTTCGGAGACTGATGCTGCGGAGAAGGACGCCGAGGATAAAGATGATGATGATCTTGACCTATTTGGTGAGGAAACCGAGGAGGAGAAGGCGGTGAGAGAGAAGCGTGAAACCCAATTGTAGGAGGCCGGAAAGAAGCCGAAGGTTGTAGCGGGGAAGTCATCCATTGTTCTTGATGTGAAGCCATGGGATGATGAGACGTACATTAAGAAGCTTTAAGAGGCTGTCCGAAAGGTTTCATACCCGATTTTCTTTGCGGAGCGTCAAAGCTTGCGCCTGTTGACTATGGCATCAATAAGCTGCAGAACAAGATGATCATCGAAGATGATCTCGTTTTAGTGGATCATCTGATTGAGGATCACATGCAAGAGGGTTCGGCGACAGAGTACATCCAGAGCGTGGATATCATTGCCTTCAATAAAATTTAAATTGCGGACATTTTCTTATAGTTAATTCACTCAGAGACATTGTGGATTTGGTAATGATGTCCAAGTGTTAGTATGCGTTGTTGTGATTCAAAAAATCTAAGTGGGCAGTTCTCTTTGTGAAATGCTCTCTCCATATCCGAGAATGTGATCGGTGTGTATATAATAGGTCCGGCTACCTTTCTTGAACCGCGACTGGGTACAGAGGGAATCCCGTTTTTTCAGTTCATCGCTGGGCTCGGTCACACTGGGACTAGCTTCTGAGTTGAAAATTGGAATATATTCGAACAACGAATTGAGTAAAAAAAAAAAAAAAAAAAAAAAAAAAAAAAAAAAAAAAAAAAAAAGAAGCCCCAAACCAACACACAGACGGACAAACAAAAGCAAAAAAAAAAAAAAAAAAAAAAAAAAAAAAAGGAGGATGTCCAGTTTGACGTTGATACAATTTTGACGCAGATCCAAACCAACAAATGTAGCTCAGCTGGTACACCCATGCACTGTTGAGATACAAACTAAATTGAAGTCCAGATACAGGCAGATCCTTACCAACCCCGTCAGCGACAAACTTTTCTTTTTTTTTACATTTTTATTTGCATCTTTGCGCCAATCACCTTCTATTGCCATACGCCCCGCCCCCTGCACGTGCGCGCACTAGCGAGCAAGAGAGAGAGAGAGAGAGAGAGAGAGAGAGAGAGAGAGAGAGAGAGAGAGAGAAAAAACAAAAAAAAACAAATCTACAGGGGGGAAAAAATACAAGTGATCATTACCACCTCATCGTTTGGATTTGTTTTTCTTAATTTTTTCCCTTCAATTTCATTTTAGGCAAAAAGAGCGATTGCCCAACATGACAAAGACCCACTTTGGTGTTATCCTACTCACTCCTTAGACTTGCGCTTCTTCCATCGCAATAGTTCCCTACGTTACCTCACACTGTTTTCCTCCTTATGCTTTTCACCACATGCTGCTTCCATTTCCATGATTCCCCATGTTCCCTCACACGGTTTTCCTCCTCGTGCTTTTGAACAAGCAGAGAGGATTGTTGTCAGAGCTCGTCTTTAAGTTATGTTAATGTGATAATTGTACCACCTTCCGTTATGCAATGCAATAGTCAATAGTAGCGCCTGATAGTAGTGGCCCACCAACTATCGTAGTTTAAGAACAACACCCGATAAGAGCGACCCACCGCAAAAAAGTGGTTGGTTTTATAGTTGCATTGAAGAGGGATCTACTAGAAAATCGAAACTCTCACTTCCCCCTCCAAAAAAAAAACCTTCACGCTTCTTAATGGTTCTACATAGGAAAACAGACCAAGCACCATGACAGGTGGGACACGTTCCTTCTCAGACCAGTTATTCCCCTTTTTTGCCTCTTTGTGGCTTTAAAGGACCATTTGTGATGTGGTTTGGACTATCCTAATGCGAACAAACGGGATGAAGACGACACAAAACTACAAAATGTTTTCACTATCTGCAACCTTACGGCCTGCGAATTACCTGGTAAAGGTCAGCCCCACGATGATATGTCAAGGTCGTCGCTTCAAAATATAAAAGAAAATGAAACAAAAGGAAAAGCAATTATGGGGTTCACCACACCACAGTCGAAAATACGATTTTTTATAGTTTCTTTTGGCCACACATCCTGTTGAAATTGAAGCCGAGAAGAAAATTCGCAAGTTGTCAGAGAATGTTCCTCGATACTTCCTTTTGAAAGTTGTTGAATCCCCAGCCTGCTACTCTGATGCTTGTAACAGTCCTCAGTTGGACGATCGACTTCTCCTTGAAATTTGGTCAGTGGGCGTGAGGTTAGGGTAGACTAATGTTTGTTGTACCCTCACGCGCGTTCGTTTTTTTCCATCTTGCATTCACAAGCGCATTCATTCTACAATGTTGTATGGCTAAAGGGAGGCAAACTGTCGAGAGGGCGACTGACAAATTTATTTTGACAGCTGTCGAAATTTTCAGCCTTTCGCAATGGTGTGACAAGCCGCTATGTCCCGAATGCAATATTGTCGCTGATATAGTCATGATCGAAGTTATCTGGCATAATAACGACTTTAACGGGTGTGATTTCAAGCAAACTAATAGACCCATGCACATTGCACGACTGTCGCATGCCTCCATAATTGTTAAGGAGCTATTTGTTTCCCCTCCCCCCCGAACCCC